ACATTGTGGAGCCTTATCTCAATGACCCTCTGCTCAATCCTAACAGAAAACCTTTCTGAGCAGAGTTGGCGTTTGGCTTTAGTCTAGAGCAGGGGTGGGCAAACTTTTTGACTCCAGGGCCACAATGGGTTCTTAAACTGGACCGGAGGGCCGGAACAAAAGCATGGATGGAGTGTTTGTGTGAACTAATTTAAATTCAAAATAAACATCATTACATAAAAGGGTACGGTCTTTTTTTTCAATAGTTTTATTCATTTCAAACGGGTCGGATCCAGCCCGCAGGCCGTAGTTTGCCCACGGCTGTTCTAGAGCTTTTCAGGGCATGTTAGACCCTATAAAACCATCTTAATAATTTTCACTTCTGATTGGGTCAGATGTTCCTCTTTTCCCAGGGCACCCAGTTACTGTAGTCTCCAAAGCCACCCTACCCAAATAAGGTTTCCATAAAGTTGCTTGGAAATGTTAAATGATACATGCAAAATATTAGACATAGTTCCTTACATATAGTAAGTAGTCAGTGTTAACTGCTATTTTAGTGTTGCAATGATCATTTTTGCAGTGTGTGCCTACTGTGAGCACAGCAACAAAGAACGTGAGACTTATTGGGAGCATATTAAAAATAGATGACTGACCAATTATTTTGGATCTTGACTAGTGAACAGAAATAATCCTATCTAATAAAAGAGAAACATGGTAATTGGTGTACGACTGCTACCCGCCCCATTGGCTAATCAGCGAGATATGCAAATTAACTGCCAGCCAAGATGGCGGCCGGCAGCCGGGCAGCTTGAAACTAACATGAGGCTTGCTTGCTTCAGTGATGGAGGACTCCAACGTTCCCTGCCTGCCTTGCCGGCCTCTGAGCTTGCAGTTTAAGAAACATTGTAACAAATTTTAGAAGCTAAACAAAACCCCAGAAACCTGCTTTCAGTGAGCCCGGGATCTCAGAGCTGGAGTTATACATTGTTTCGATTATAGAACCGAAACAAACCAGAGGCCTCAGAGCTGGAGCCTCAGAACTGGAGCCAGAGCTAAAGCTGGCCCAGAATAAAAAAAGGAAAACAAAAAAAGGAGCTGTTGGGAGCTTCAGTCGGCCTGAAAACAGCCCTCATCCCCTCACCCAGGCTGGCCAGGCACCCCAGTGGGGACACCCACCCTGATCCAGGACACCCTTCAGGGCAAACCAGCCAGCCCCACCCGTGCACCAGGCCTCTATCCTATATAGTAAAAGGGTAATATGCCTCCCAGCACTGGGATCAGCGGAGCCGAGAGGCCTCCCGGCACCAGGATCAGCCTGACGGGGCAGCGCCCAAACCCCCTGATAGCCCTGCGGCTCTGTGTGTGACAGGGGGCGGGGCCACAACCTCCCTATCGGCCCTACTCTGTGAGTGACGGGGGAGCTCCTCAACCTCCTTATCGGCCCTGCTTTGTGCATGACAGGGGTGAGCTCCCCAACCCCCTGATTGACCTTGCTCTGTGTGTGACAGGGTACGGAGCCCCAACCCCCCTGATGGGCCCTGCTCTGTGCATGACGGGGCAGTGCCCCAACCCCCTGATTGGTCCTGCTCTGTGCATGACAGGGTACGGAACCCCAACCCCCCTGATTGGCCCTGCTCTGTGCGTGACAAGGGGTGGCGCCACAACCTCCCCATCGACCCTGCCTTGAGTGTGACAGCGGGCGGTGCCCCAACCCCCCAATCGGCCCTACCCTGAGTGTGACTGAGGGTGGCATCGCAACCTCCCAATCTGTCCTGCTCTGTGCATGACAGGGGGCGGCGCCCCAACTCCCCAATCGGCCCTGCTCTGAGCCCGACCAGGGGCTGCACCTAGGGATTGGGCCTGCCCTCTGCCACCCGGGAGCAGGCCTAAGCCAGCAGGGTGTTATCTCCCGAGGGGTCCCAGACTGGGAGAGGGCACAGGCCTGGCTGAGCGACCCCACCTCCCTCCCTCCCCGCCGAGTGCACAAATTTTTGTGCACCAGGCCTCTGATTATTATAAAACTAAGAGATTTGTATTACTTGCTGTACGATTAAAGAAAATGGAATGACTTAAATTCTTGAGCAAAAACAGTAAAAGACAAAGCCACAAAATATGCCATTGGGAAAAGTGATTTTTAGTTTCATATTATTTAGCATGTGGCCAGCACATGGAATTCTATGGAGGGATAGTGCCTAGTGCCTAGCGTAGTGTCTAGTTTGTACTGTTTATGTATGCTGGTTGAATGACTGATACAGTGAGACCTCATTGTGGAGGCCTGATTGTATACATGCTTGTTTAAGTTAGACATGTGAATGTTATTTAATGGTCAGTGAGAAGCCATTTCAGAATTTTGAATAGGAAGAGGATGCATTGACTGCTTAAACTGTAAGGAACTGTGCAATGGGAGGCTTGGGAACGGGTGTGGGGCAGTGTATTTGAATCTTGGAGGGATACTATAAGCACTATGAATGAGAGCCCCAATGAATTTTTTGTAAAGAAAATCACTATTTTAGGAAATCCTTGAGTGTCCAAACTATAGAATGTAGAGCTAAATTTAACATATAGACCCTCAGATCTAACCTTCATATTATGAATGAGATCAAGTGAATTCCTCAAAGCTCTTAGTCCAGGGCTTCTGATTCCTAGTCTATTGCTCTGAAATGTATAACAACATTCAAATTGTGGGGGAAACCATGTAGCCAGCAGAGTCTCGGGCAGGATTGACCTACATATAGCTTTGTCGTCCCTGCTCCAACAAGTCTGAATGTTTTCATGTCATCTGGTTATACATTTAAATTGTACTGCCCTAACTGGTTTGGCTGAGTGGATAGAGCATCGGCCTGCGGACTGAAAGATCCCAGGTTCGATTCCGGTCAAGGGCATGTACCTTGGCTGCAGGCAAATCCCCAGTTGGGGGTGTGCAGAAGGCAGCTGATCGATGTTTCTCTCTATCCCTCTCCCTTCCTCTCTGTAAAAAATCAATAAAATATATTTTTAAAAAAATAAAATTGTACCACTTGGCCTGGCTAGTGTGGCTCAGTGGTTGAGTGTGGACTCATGAACCAGGATATCAGTTCGATTCCCGGTTAGGGCACATGCCCAGGTTGTGGGCTCAATCGCCAGTAGGGGCGTGCAGGAGGCAGCTGATCAATGATTCTCTATCATCATTGATATTTCTATCTCTCTCCCTCTCCCTTCCTCTCTGAAATCAATAAAAATATATTTTAAAAAATAAAATAAAATTGTACCACTTGGTTATTCATGTAGGCTAACAAGCATGGAATGAAAGTAAAACTCTCACTACCACAGAGGCAAACCAGTAAAACACTTTGTCATATTTTCTCACCAATCTTTAGAAAAATACATAATTTTAAAATTAGAACTCTATTGTTTTTTAAAAATTTACTGTATCCAGACGTTGACTTATATACTTAAACCTTGCACAAATACATCATTTTAAATACTTATGTGTGCTGTGCCAGCACAGTCAAGGTTCAGTGAGCCTGAGGAGGGGCAGTGAAAGATTAAAGAAAAGACAGACAAAGAGAATATAGCTGGGGCTCGGTGGATCTCCTGTGCCTGGATGAGGGAGGCCACAGAGAAGGATCCAGCCAGCAAGCTGAGGCTTTATTTTATAGTCAGAGTAAAACAAGGTAGTGGTCAACATAGTTACAATGTTCTTGTGAGTTTCACTTGTTTTGGCAGCACTTGCAGCACCTCCCACAGCCCATTAGCTACCCAGGAAGGATCTAGGGCAGCCGTGGGCAAACTACGGCCTGCAGGCTGGATCTGGCCCGTTTGAAATGAATAAAACTAAAAAAAAAAAAAAGACCGTACCCTTTTATGTAATGATGTTTACTTTGAATTTATATTAGTTCACACAAACACTCCATCCATGCTTTTGTTCCGGCCCTCCGGTCCAGTTTAAGAACCCATTGTGGCCCTGGAGTCAAAAAGTTTGCCCACCCCTGATCTAGGGGGTGGCCATAAGGTCAAGCTTAATTATGCTAAGAGGGCTCTGCCCTCTAAGCTGGGACTTGTTTGTGGCTCTGCCACAGATCAATCCGAGGCTTAACTCTAGAGCGTCTCCCTATACTTATGTAGTAGTATTCCATCATAAGAATGTGCCTATATATACACAGATACGTGTGTGTGTGTGTGTGTGTGTGTGTTTGGCTTTGCAACTAATTGAATGTCATTAGGAAAGGGTAAAAATACATTGAACATGACTTAAGGGCTAAAAGCCTCAGAAATGGTGAAATGAGGAGTTTTTGCAGACTTGTGGAGAAACCTGAAAGATGACACCTGAGAATTCCTATTACATTTAAGGAACTTGTGCTGATGAGAGAGGGATTAACATAGATAAAATTGTAATTTGTAGACACTCTAAAATCACTTATTTTAGCCAGTAGTTTCCGTTGTGGCTTAAAACAACATATCTCTCTGTACTTGTAATAACAAAGTGGGTAAATCTGCATTGCACATGCTCCTCCTTTAGTTGAAAACAATTATATAGGAGAAGGATGATACTGTGAACTAGGTCTTAGTTCTGTTACTGATTTACTATGTGACATTGGACAAGGCGTGTCACCTCTCTGTCCAAGGATAATTAATACTGCTTTAAATGATTTTTGCAGTTCCTTCTGAAAGTAGAGTCTTTGTTTTTAAATCAAAACATGACCTCTTAGGTAGAGTTGGCTACACTTTCTCAAATTTGAAAAATTAAGCAAAATGCTGATATAGTATATTCATGTAACTTTTAAGTATAGTATCTTGAAGGTGTCCCTCTATCAACTAAAGAAAAAATGTCTCCATTTAATATATGACTGCGTCAAGAAAAAAAAAAATGCAACCACAGTAGGTGATCAAAAGGATAAGTAACTTTCAGGGATTTTGAAAGCCCAGTAGTATTTAGTATTTGCTCTCTCAGCATTAAAAAGGTCACCTTGCTAATACATGTTAATTTTGAAAGTTTAATTGACCTTTGGAATTTTAATATCAACCTTTTTTGGTGTGTTTAGAGGTTGGAGCAATCACTGAAGAAACTGAAGCCTGTGATTGGTGGAGTTTGGGTGCTGTCCTCTTTGAACTTCTCACTGGCAAGGTAAGCAGTGACCTGGACGCTTAATAAGTTTACCCAGATGCTACCTTGATTTCAAATTGAGACCATTTAGCCTTTGCCTGTAATTTTTAGATCAGAGACTAGGTAAGAAAAACTTTGAGATATATATGTGCAGTAAATTTATCAAGATTTCAGATAAAGAAATTAGAGTTGTATTGCACTGAATAAATCGATGGTAAAATTCTGTATGTCACAATGTCAGTACACAGTAAGATACTTGTATAAGACTAAATACTTTTTCTCTTTATTTTCCATGATTTCCTTTTAAATAGAGTTAAATCTGTAAGGTTCATATCAGGATGTATTATAATTCTTTAGATATTTTAAACATTTTGTCTGAAATCAGGAGGGAATTCTCATTTTAAAGAAAATTAATGTAGATATAAATGGTAACCTCTTTTTTCTCAATACTATAATTTTTTCCTATCTGTTCTAGCTTTAGGACAGAATTTATGCTCTCTCTGATCAATAACTTTTAAGTATCATATTTGAGGTTAGTAGACTTTTAATAGAGTACTGTGCAGATTGCCTCCTGGGAAGAAAACAGAGGAACAGTCAGTTTTATAAGTAGTCCTCTACCTTAAATATGTAGATAATATAGAATTCCCAAGATAGTTGTGGAATTTACAAACCATCTATACATACATTTAAACCATAATGTGCCACATATACACATATATATACATATATATTATTAATTTTGAAGGTTTTTAATACATTAAAATTATTTAGAGTTATCTAAAGTCCCTTTTTAGTTTTTATGTATAAATATAAGCTCTTCTACTTATGAGCCACTTTATAACTAAGGTAAAAGGGCTAGAAGCATAAGCTTATGATGTGATTTATCTGATTGCCTTCATTCCGGTTAGAAGTTCTATAGGCTTAGAGCCCTCGTCTTATACTGCTTATGTGGCACTGCTGATTACTACACCTCCAGTTAAGACCATTGCTGAGTTCTCTGCACTCACTGTCCATAAATCCTGGGTAAGAAGTGTACCTGATTGATTGTTTCAGACTCTGGTTGAGTGCCATCCAGCAGGAATAACTACTCACACTACTTTGAACATGCCAGAATGTGTCTCTGAAGAGGCTCGCTCACTCATTCAACAGGTAATTTAATTGACCTATTGGCCAAATGTGTCAAACATGCAAATTAGGAGAGCCTGCAGCTCTAAAACCTTAAAGAAATTAATTTTGGGCAAGAAAGACCCATTACTGATTGCAAATTCAGAATTAGTACTGTGTATCTTCAGGTTTATGCTATTATCTAAGTATTGGTGAGCTTATTGGTATTAAAATTTTTTTCTCTCAAAAATCTAGGCTGATATTTAGTCTGTCTGTCTATCTATCTATCTATCTATCTATCTATCTATCTATCTATCTATCTGTTATATATAAGCCTAATATGCAAAGTGTCCCCTCGGGAGTTCGACCGACTGGGAGTTTGATCGCTCACTATGATGTGCACTGACCACCAGGGGGCACTGTGGAACGAAAGAAGGCCCCGGAGCAGCCGCTAGGGACCCTACCCATGCACGAATTTTGTGCACTGAGCATCTAGTCTATATATTTACGTAGGTGTAACTTTTTAAGAATTGCATTTAGCTTGTCTGGAGCTGCTCTACTTTTGCTATTACATTTTGTAACTATTTATGAATAGCTATTTTCGCTCTTTAATTCATATTTATAAACTTAGAAATGGGCTCCTCAGGTTGCATAGGGGGGATGTGGTGTTAAAAAATCTTGCCCAGTTAGATCATTCTTAGTTAGCTTCATCCATTGATGGAACTTGGGCATTGATGTCAGTGCATATTTTGGTGGCTTTGAAGAAAGAGATAGTTGATAATTCAAGTTTAGTATTCCAGAGGGAAGCTTGAAACTCTGATGAACTTCTTAAATTGATTCCCTACATTTAAAATGCTCCTCTAGTTTTGAATAACGGATTTGGTGAGTACACTGAGGGTTGTCAGTGTTGTGGTATGATAGGCTCACAGTAAATCAGCAATAACTGTCAGGCCTGGGATCTGTACACTTTTATGAAAAACACAAAGGGAAAGGCTATTTGATAAACATAAGAACTAAAGTTTTTGTTTAATGAAACATGAATTATTTTTTTAATCAGGGAAAATGAACTTTTTTAAAAGGGGAGGGAGGGCTAATAGAACATATTAAGAAGAGAAATACCTAGTATCCTCTTGAAGAGTGACTTTGGTTCCATTCAACAAATGTAGGCAAGGCATAGTGCCATAAGCTGTAAAGGTAAGATATAAAAAACTGTATTGCAGGTGGATGTGATAAAGGCTGCCAAATAGGTTGAAAGAATACTTTGGCAAGTGAAAATACAGAGGGGTTATTGTTGATACAGTGGTAGTATTAGGAAAATTTTGTGTAGTGGGTGTTATTTTTGTGGAGACTTAGGTTTTCAGCATGACAAGGTGGGATGTGGGAGAAGAAGATAGGTGGAATAAATAAAGAAAAAGTCTGAAAGACTCAATTTGGTTTATCTAAAGTGGAGGAAGGAATATAGTGATGAGTGTGGAAAGATAAGTTGGGATTCTCTCATGGGGTTCTATTATCATTATCACCTGGTAGAGTGATAATATTTAATTTAGAAAAAAAACATGAGATTTTTGTACAGAAGAGTGAAAGAATCAGAACTGTACTTCATGAAGATCCTGAAAATATAAAGCAACATAATCAGTTTGGAAATACTGAGTTGAGAATACCATAAGCATTTTGTAAAAGAACTACTAGTAAGAGATTAATGCAAAGATATATAAAACATTTCATTTCAATGGGAAAAGGACAGTTATTTGTTTGATTTCATCTTATTTGTTGTGGCACAAAAAGGTAAATTTAAAATGAGTTTTTTTGGTAAATAATTTAAAGAATTCTAGTAACTGCCAATTTTTGTTTCTCTTCCTTAAAGAAGTAGTCATTATTATACATTGTGGGGCAAAAGTAGGTTTACAGTTCTATGGAAAATAATGCAATAATTAATAACTAATAATACAAGAATAAACTATGTTTTACCTACTCAGAACTATAAACCTACTTTTGCCCCACCCTGTATAACATCTAGAATAGAATTCCCCACATTAATTTATAAAGGTCTGTTGCTCCCATTTTTATTAGAAATTATAAAGGAGTTGTAAAGGAGTCTAGGCTGAAGGTATGTTAAATCCCCAAATGCGGGTACTTACCGCTTATATTGTAAATCAGCATTCTGTCATTGCCTGCCTAAGGAAACTACCACTCAGGTTGGGGAAACATCATCAGGAAAGGGAAGAGGGGTCTCTTGGCATGATTAGCCATTTGTCACTTTGACTTTCCTCTTCCACTACCTCACAGGTCATAGAGGCCATTTAAAAAAAAAACCCCACAAAATGATTTATATGGAAATAATTATTCTGCTTTGGGGAGATTTCCCCTCTTTGGTCTGTCACCTTCTTGCTTTCTTCCTAGCTTTCATATAATCCATGGTTCAGTCATCTTAGTCAAGGCAATGGTACTAAAGTAAACATAGTAAATGCAGTTTTTTAAGAAGATACATATATTTTACGAACCCTCAAATCATGTATGTTTGTACTTTACAGTGTACGTTTGGTTAACTATGACACAGTTGCTTTGTCAGTTGAAAGATTATCTTGGATTTGCCACTGGTTGACATATTCACTTAAGCAATGGAATCTTTGCATGATCTCTCTTGTGGCCTGGTATAGTATTTAAAATGGCAGAATAAACAAGATAGTCATGAGTAAAACAATTATACTTTTGCCTATAGATTTATATTTGCAAATTGAAAATATGAACCTCTATTGGAATTACATAATGAGGGCATGCTTTAGAAAGAATGAGGGTGGACAAGCCAATTGTAACAAGAAAGAATTTATACTTTCCTGAAATATTAAAAAATATGTGATAGTCATAGTTAATTTTTACCAATATTTGAAATTTTATGCTGGTCTGGTGTGGCTCAGTGGTTGACCATTGACCTATGAACCAGGAGGTCATCGTTTGATTCCCAGTCAGGCCACAGGCACAGTTGCGGTCTTGATCCCCAGTGGGGACCGTGCAGGAGTCAGCCTATCAGTGATTCTCTCTCATCATTGATGTTTCTATCTCTACCTCTCACTTCCTCTCTGAAATCAATAAAAACATTTAAAAAAATATTTGGAAATTAAACAACACACCTATGCCTCATATAACCTATGAGTTAAAGGAAAAAAATCCCAAGAGAAGCTGGAAAATGTTCTTAATGAACTAAAAGCAAATACAAACGTACAAATATAAAAATTTATAGGATGCAGCTAAAATAGTTTTTGAGAAAACTTTATGGCTTTAAACACCTGTGTCAGAAAAGAAGATCTCAAGTAAAAATCTTACCTTGCACCTTAAGAAGCAGAAACTATAAAAGTACACTTAAAGCAAGCAGAAGAAAGGAAGCAGAAATCAATGAAATAGAAAAGAGAAAAATCAAGGTATTTACAAGTTGATTCATTGAAAAGATCAGCAAAATTAGGAAACCTTTAGCTCATTCAAAAATGTACATGAAAAGGCAAGGGACCTAGACTATCCAAAATAAGCTTTTTTTTTTTTTCAATTAGCAATAATCACGCCTTGGATAAACCTCATTGGCTACAATACTGCCACTGTGCAAAGTGCAAAATAATCTTAAAGAGAACAGAGTTGGAGGACTCATACTACCTGATTTCCAGTCAGTATAAAGCCACAGTAATTACTTATTGTGTTATTAGAGCAAAGACAGGCATATAAATCAATGGAATGAAATTGAGAGTTCAGAAATAAACCCATACATGATTGTCAATTGATTTTCACTGAAGATGCCAAGATAATTTGATGGTGAAAAGGTCTTTTCAACAAACGGTGCTGGGAAAATAAAATATTCACATGTAAAACCAAAATGAACTAAGACCCTTCATATCATATGTAAAAATTAACTCAAAATAGCTCATAGACCTATGGGAGCGCAAACTATAAAAATTGTAGAAGAAAACTGGAAAATCTTCATAACCTTGGATTAGGAAAAGAGTTATTAGACATGATAGCAAAAGTAAAATAGATAATGTGGGCTTCATTAAAATAAAAAGACTTTTATATTTGAAGACATTAGTAAGAAAAGGAAGAGACAAGCCACAGACTGGGAGAAAATATTTACAAATCATATAACTGTAAGTGGACTTGTATTCAAAATGTATAAAGAACTCTTAAAAACTCAACAAGCAGACAACTCAGTATAAAAATGGAGGAAGATTTACCAAGGAAGCTATATGAAATGCTAATAAGGACATGAAAAATACCATCACTAGTCATTAGGGAATACAAATTAAAACCATAATAAGATACCACTAATACCCACTAGAAGGGCTATAATAAAAATGATAGATGCTAGGAAGTATTGGTAAGGATGTAGAGAAACTGGTGGGAATATAAAATGGTATAATTACTTTAGAAAAGTTTGGCAGTAAAAAGCTAAACATGAACTTAACACATGACTTTGGGATTGCACATCTAGGAATGCCCATAAGAGAAATGAAAGTCCACAAGGAGACATATACACAAATGTTAACAGCAAGTGTATTCATTGGCCTCAACCTGGAAAGTCACATGTCCATTAACCTGATGACTAGATTAACAAAATGTGGTATAGCCAACAGTGGAATACTGTTCAGAAATAAAGGGAATGGATTGTTGATACCTGCTACAACATAGATGACTCTCAAAAATATTATGCAAAGTGAAAGAAAGCAGCTGCAAAAGACAACGTATTTTATGATTCCATTTACATGAAATATCCACAAAGGCTGAGTTTACAGACAGAACACAGATCAGTGGTTGCCTAGGGCTGGGGATAGAAGTGAGGATTATCTGTAAACAGCATGAAGAAACTTTTTAGGGTTCAAAACTGTTCTAAAACTGAATAGTAGCAATGGTTTTACAACTCTAACTTTACTAAGAATCATTCAATTGTACACTTACAATAGGTGAATTTTATACTATATAAATTATTCCTTGGTAAAGCTGTTGAAACAAAAATTTGAGGATGTGTGAATGTCTCAATACACATTCTTCCCGCATGCCTATGGCCTACAATAATTGTATATGACTGCTTGTATTTTCCCACACTCAACAATTCTATTGCATATAATATTATTAACTTATACATAAATTCTGATACTGAATAAGTCAAAATACGTTTTACTCATTGGAGCAAATTATTCTATGTGAGTCAGCTATTCCAAGGAAAACATTTTGGAATACGAATTGGCCAATTCAGACTTTAGGTAAAGTTTAGACCTAGTACACATATAATCCACTAGGGGTTGAAAGACTTACTGTGCCGCCCAACCTTTCAAATCATGAAAGGAGTAATGGACCTCTCGGAATTTGGTGCAATATCAAATTAATGTCACACTGTACTTTTTGGAATTGGAAATTCACAAGTGTAACTATATGAGGATGAGAGAAACAAAGTGAGCCACTCAAGGTCATGTTTCAAATCAGTTGAAAAGCCACCACTAGAGTGATGTTAGACACAGCTCCCTTTCAAGAAAAGATAGTCAATTGGCTGTTATGTTCATTTGCTGCTGGGGTTGAATTACAAGCACTTTCCTTTCATATATTTTGTTTTCCTTTAATTTGCTCATTGGATTCCTGTTAGTCACTAAATCCTCTTTCTTAGCTCTTACAGTTCAATCCTGTGGAGCGTCTTGGTGCTGGAGTTGCTGGTGTTGAAGATATCAAATCGCACCCATTTTTTACTCCTGTGGATTGGGCAGAACTGATGAGATGAACATAATGCAGGTTATTTGCATGCATTCTGACCTTCTCTGGGCAGGCATCCCCAGCACAGAGGCAGCGCAGCCTCGGTTTCTTTGGAAGCACCAAAGCATTGGGATAAACACCTTGAGAGGAAATGGAGGATAAAAAGCCTAAAAGAGAACAATTCCTTACAGTTACCACCTGGACAAGATATCGGTATATTGCAAGAGGCTGTTTTGTACAAACCTTTAATGAAGGTGTGATCTTTTTTTAACTACACTTAGTGTTGCAGATGAGTCGTAAACCCAACTGAAAGGAATGCCCATCAAGAACTTCCTCTGGTATGAAACTCCAAGTGTACAATCAAGTGTTACTTGAGAGGAGGACCTTTACATGGCAGCTAACCACGCTTTCTGCTAACCAAGATTGGTTTATATGATCAAATTAATATTTGTTGAGTACTATATAAAAAGTGCTTCATGAATAATGACATCTGTGGAGATTAAAAAGTGAGAGAAAAAAGAATATACTCATCATGTCTGATAGGAAACTTGCACCACAATGCTGTATAATTAATATATGTTGAATATGATCCCGAATTGTTTCATGCTTTCAGAAGTCCACATGGAAAGAAAACACTTCATGGGGTCAACTTTGTACATGGTTGGTTGGTACTGCTTATGGAAGGGTTCATATAAACACTCTCTTCTCTTTGACACTATCTTTCTTCTTCCCTGGCCTATTCTGTAATATTCTGTTCTTCCTACCCCTACTAATACATAACAAAAAAGGGAAGAGGGAGTATTTATGTCCCCAAATTGTATCAGCTTAATAAGGACTAAGAAATCATGATGTGAAATAAATGTAAAAAATTAAATCTGTCTTTCATTTAATTGCATTTTTTTTAAAGAAAGGCTTCTCTTCCATTCATATTGAAAAGTTAGCAATTTCTCTGTCTTATGCTTGACTTCATTTTAGTTTTTGACTTGGTATACTAAGAACCAAAGGACCTCCTCTAAATGGAATTGAATGGCAATCCTATTTCATTACTTATAGTGGCAGGATTTCCAGATTTGACCTCCTAATCTACTTGACATTGTGTAGAAAGAATCTGAGTATTTGAACATCTCTAAACATTTGTATTTTTTCTTTATGTTGCTAAGATAGGTCCTGTGGTTATGCATTATTTACAACTTACAAATGTTTTAAAAGTGTTAATGCATGTTTTTTTTTTAAACTTTATTCAAAGGAAAGAGAATAAGTCACTATTCCCAAGTTAGCAGTTACCAGAAATAATGAAAGCTTTCTGTATGTTTTAATCCTTTGTATTTTTGAGATATGTGTGAGAGCCCACCTCTATTCCAAGAGCATCTGCCATCTGCCAATGGCCAGGTCCTCCCATCAAATTAATGGAAGCAGAAAATGCTTTAGTGTGAAACAAAGGAAATGTGCAAGCATTTTTCCTTCTTTTCTTATCCTACTCCCCCCTTTTCCTTTTTGGTCCCCTTATAACCTGAACCCCAGCTGAAGGGCTGCAACAACACCAGGATGGGGAACAGGTCACCAGGATCATAGCTCAATCAAGATGACATCACTCCCTGGAACTGGATTTCAGCTCACCAGCCCCCTGGCCTCATAACAGGAACTCATGCAGGTGAGACACAAGAATGACTTCCTGGTAGGACTAGTAGGAAATCTGCAAGTGCTTAGAGCTGGCCATTACAGAGCTTCCTTCCAGAAGTGCCCTATGACATGAAAGTAGGACTTCACAACTAAGGTGAAGCTCCCAGCCCTACCACATGATTTTGGTCCCTTGGATTCAGAGGACAGTAATGTCAACAGATGGTTGCTGTGTCAGTGTGTTCACACAATTCCACTGCTTCAATTTCTGTCTTTCTCTCTGGTTGGTTGGAACGTGTGCTTAATGTTAAATGCAGTATTCATAATCTGATTTAATGATGAACATTAATTATTTTAGTAATGAACACACAAGATAAATGGCTTTGGGTTGATGAACCCAAGTCTGTTTTTGTTTGATGGTGTATATTAGAAATATTAATATTTCTAAGGCTGTGGCCGATACTGCTTTTTTGTTGTTGTATTTTTTTGAGCATGTGTCATATGGGCCAAGATCATAAAAGAACTTGCCACTTAGTATTTCTCATTTGATGTATTTTTTTTATTGTGGTATGGTATACATACCGTTAACCACTTTTAAGTATACAATTTAGTGGCATTAAGTACATTCACATATTTATTCAACCATCACCACTATGCATCTCAGAACTTTTTAATCATCCCAAACTGAAACTTTATACCCATTAAAGAATAGCTTCCCATTTCCCCTCTCGCAGCCCTTGGTAACCATCATTCTATTTTCTACCTCTATGAACTGGACTCTTCTAGGTCTCTCATATAAGCAGAATCTTACAATATTTGTTTTTCTGAGAATAATATTTTCAAGGTTCATCCGTGATATAGTGTATATCAAAATTTCATTCCTTTTTGAGGCAGAATAATATTCATTGTGTGTATAAACCACATTTTGTTTAACCATTTACCTGGCAATGGACATTTTGGTGTTCCTACTTTTTAACTATTGTGAACAGTGTCATTATGAACATTGATGTACAAACATCAGTTTGAGCCCATGCTTTTATTTGATTTTATATTTTTATGTGAAATTACCAATGTTATTTACTATTATTTTACTATGCTCTTTATAAGAGAGCTTTTTCTAACAGGTTGCCAAATAATATTGTATATTGTCCCCTATCTTAAGATTATGATAGGAAAATCTACCATTTCTATTTCATAGTGGGGTGAGTTAAGCTCTCTAAGATTAAAAAAGAATGCCATCATTTTAGCAATTTGTTTTAACTATGACACCAGTTAATACTTTTTGAGGCAGATCTTTTCAATTTGTTATAACTGAACTCTCGGTAATCTATTTAAACCTGCCTTTTAAAATTTTTAAAACAGCTATAATTCCTGTTGTGTTTTGACCCTCCAGCTTTTCCTACCCTATTTTATTTCAGATTAATTGTGAACCAAGTTTGAGTTTTTCTTTCAAATAATGCTTGTACTGAAGAGTATAAAATTTATAAATAATATTCATGCTATGACCAGTAACACTATATTAGGACCCCACACATAACCTGCCCTGGTTGAAGTCACTTGCCCATAATTTATGAATCCAAACAAAGAAATCTGACTATAGTGTTGAAAGGCTCTTTGACTCTCAATGGGCCCCTTATAGTATCTTTGTTGGACTCACCTAGGAATTACTTTATAGCAAAGGCCAGGGCTTAAGGTGGGTCATTTTACTTCTTAGAAGTAGTTGATTTAACCTCTGGCGTATCTAAATGCTCTGGGTAACAAAGCCTGGTATTTCAGGTTCTTTTTTGAGGATTGTGGAATAGACTAACTAGACCAGTGATTCTCAGCCTTCAGGCCCTTTAAAACAGTTCCTCATGTTGTGACCCAACCATAAAATTATTTTTGTTGCTACTTCATAACTGTAATTTTGCTACTGTTATGAATCATAATGTAAATATCTGATATGCAGGATGGTCTTAAGGCGACCCCTGTGAAAGGGTCGTTTGGTCGCCAAAGGGGCCGCGACCCACAGGTTGAGAACTGCTGAACTAGACTTTAACCTTAATCAAATGACAGTATTCCAGACCTGTTCCTTACCTATAGAACGAAAAGGAAGGTGAATTCCAAGCTCCACAAACATGATGGATTTTCTATTTTTTAGAGTGAACTAATTTGATAAACCAACATTGTAGAAAGACAAGGTTAATGAAAATCTTAAATTGATACTTAACTGTGTCCTTATAATTATTTTTCTAGTAATCCCAGATACTTGGGTTGCTGCCATATACCCACTCAGTAGCACAGCCCTTAGTGGTTATGTGGCTATAAAAATTATAAATAGAATGAAATAGTAAAGGTTATTTCTAAGTCAACTCTGCACTGGAAAAGGAGAGTTGAAGGTCCAGATAGAAGTATGTGGAGGTGAAAGGAGGTTAGGACACACCTACCTTTGCCCACTTCTTAGACCTTTCTCAATAACCGTGATGGTATTCCTACCCTATTGCCCTCATCTATCATATTTTATGTGTTTATTTGACTCAGTTCTTTGGCAGGCATAATCAGAGTGCAAAATTGATACTTTCTGTTTGTATTTAATGCAGAACATTAACCTCTACCAGTCTAGGTAATTTGGACTTTTGAGTATTTGATGTCTACTCAGTTCATTTTAAGGATTTCATATTAGATCCTTATGTTGAAGGGTTACTAAATGGCAAAAGCTGTGAAGTCAGCTATTTTGAAATAAAGTTGTAAATAGAATAGCTGCAAGGAAATGGGAAGCAAAGTACTATGGGTTTCTGTGACTTGGCATCGCTTACTCTCTCAAGGACAGCAAACAGGAAACCAGAGTATAAACTTCCTGTTGGGGAAGATTTACGATAATGGTGATGCATAGTTAGTATAGCTGTGCATTTTTTGTTCCTATCATCCGACTTCTTTCCTTGATTCAGGGATCTCATTACAGGGGAAAATCGAGGCAGAGAAAATTTGTGGAGGTGTAATAACGAAAGTTGAGTAAGGTGGTCCAGGGTAATGCACTTGTCAGGTGTGTTGGCCTATGTGTCTTTGTTGAGCTAGGTTTTTAAAAAAAATGATCACATTTATTGGAGTGACATCTATATATATAAAAGGCTAATATGCTAAGTGTCCCTCTGCCCGTGAACCAGTTTCCATGACATGCATTGACCAGCAGGGGGCAGACACTCAACGCAGGAGCTGCCGTGATGTGCACTGGCCATTTACAGAGAAATGGCACTGCAGACCTGGTGCTCACAAAGCAACACTCGGATTCCCCCAAGTGGGACACAGACCCCACCACCACCCCAGAGCAATAGCCCACCAAATCGCATCCGATGCTGCCATGGCACAAAATGTGGCCCACAGCCCAGCCCAGCCCTGAAGCAGTTGCTGTGGGCACTGGGTAATGACATCACATAGCAACACCTGGCTTTCTCTCCCTAGCAACTAGCCTCCTTGGGATTTCTTCAGCCCAGGAACACGACTTGCTTTATAGCCAGGTGCAAATATTTTACACTTTAACCAAATGTTTGTGAAGCGTTTTCCCATGCCTCATCTCATTTGATCCTCACAGAAGTCCTGGAGTAGGTAGATAGGAGATTCAGTGGAATCCTATTTTCTTTTCATTAGGCAGAAAACAGAGATTTAGAAAGCTTAGAAACTTTACCTGACTGAAAAGAAGTAAGAAATGATGGACCTTGAAAATGACTTTAGGTTTTCTCACTGCACAGAATATAGTCAAACACTGCTGCAGTTAAATATTTTACCCTTTGTTCTCCCTGCGTGATCTACAATAATAATCTCCTTCGTGTTGATATTTACTGCTGTGTTGCTGACAATTATCTGAAAGAGAAGTTGGGGTGCTTCACTGGGCTGGAAAAAGTTTAGCTAAATCAGAAAGCAGGTCTAATTAAGCAAGTCTATTCTATCCTATCTAATAAAAGAGAAACATGGTAATTAGCCATACATCCGCTACCCTTCCCATTGGCTAATCAGGGCGGTATGCAAATTAACTCCCAGCCAAGATGGCAGCCAGCAGCCAGGCTACTGACACGAACAGGAGGCTTGCTTGCTTCAGTGATGGAGGACTCCAACATTCCCCGCCTGCCGCTGCTGGGCTCTGAGCTGCTAAGAAACATTGTTACAAATACAGAAGCTGCCAAAACCGGTTTGGCTCAGTGGATAGAGCGTCGGCCTGCGGACTGAAAGGTCCCAGGTTCGATTCCGGTCAAGGGCATGTATCTGGGTTGCGGGCATATCCCCAGTGGGAGATGTGCAG